CACTAAAATTATCAATATATGTAATAAACATAAGTATCCTCATATTCTTTGTTTCATTCAGGTCCACACTTGACCTTGTGTAAATTTAAAAATATGTTTATATCAGAATTTTAGTATCAGATCTATTAGTTTCATACTCACGCAACAAACAGATTACCTGTTATTTTCTTCCAGAAATTGATTGAAATAGCAGGTCCCAATAGTCCGGCATTCAGGAATACAGAAGTTCAAACTCATACATGCCTTTTTAGCAAAACTTTGTGAGCTACTAGTGAGTGACCAAGAATATTGTGTGATTTTCTTCTGTCAGAGTTAGTGTAAAATAACATGTCCTATCTTCTATATAATTAAATTCCATTTTCCTTTTTTATATGATAGCAGTTTGGAGTGTTTACCTGGATTTTCAGATAGCATCAGGTTTAAAAGAAGTTTCTTCCTTATTTCTTGGGCATGAGTCACCTCACGAAGGAAAAAGGCATGTTCCTTAACACCCTTTATACCAAAGGTCAAGGGCTCAGCTCCAGAAGCAATGACAAGCTTGTCATACGCTACTTTAAATCGGTAAGGTCCACGAGAAAGTCCATCATCACCAATGGTCTCACAGTACACCTGATTAAATGAGACAATTTATATTTCAAGACATTGAACTTCATCATCAAGGGAAGAACCATCAAAATGCAATGCCAATTATCATAATCTCTCTTTTTATATGTAACTGCACTTCAAAAATGCACAAGTGACTCTTAGGAACATGTTTATAGTTACTAGTATATTACTAAATTGCCTCAGAATGTGCTAAATTAGAGATATCAAGAACAACTGATTATATCTACTTACTTCATGCTTGTCCATGTCCACTCCACTGCATGAAGCCAGAAAGAAGTAAGAATTGGGATCCTTAGCCAGTGCAGTCTGTATCCTACTGACCGGCTCCGCAACCGATCGGAATTCCAACGTTCCAACACAAGTTGAGGCAAGCAGGGGAGTAAATACCATGTGATTCCTTGGTGATATGCAAACCACGTCATAAATCTTCGTGTCGAGCCCTTTGAGGAATCTACATGCTGCCCATCCACTACCAAGAACAACTACTCTAGGCTTTTCACCAGGCTTTGTTGCTTCTAAAGTAGGATACTGGGGGCTTTCTTGCTCTGAATCAGATTCTGCCACTGCTACTTGTGAATGAGCAAAATTATGTTGTGGAGTCACCCTCATTCCCCTGTTTCCAAAACTGATATGTTCTGCCTTTTTAAAGCTCAATAAATTGCCAGAGCCAGTAACATTTCCACCGAGAAGTGAATGATACTTTTGTGCAGATTCTCTCCCACACAGTTGATACCGAGACTCGGTAGCATTATTGCTAACGGCACCAAACGATCGTCTGTAACAACCGTGTCTTGCTATTCTTGCCAGTGCCATTTCGAGAGTACAGGCTGATACTCTCGATATTTGTTGAAGAAATAAGCAGGTTCAGATGGTCTATCTCCTCTGTATCTCTATGAATTCTGAAAGTTAAAAACAATACGAGATCTTATACCTCTTCCCAAATATATATGAACAAGTAAAAGACAAGGGGTAAGAATTCCCACGAACACAACTAGTTTAACAAAGAAAGAAGACGGCGGTTTCTAAGATTTTCTAGTTGTCAAAGCACACCCAACTATTCCATTTGATTCAATTGGTGACAAATTCAAAGACAAGACACTTCGTAAAACTCTAAAGGGGGCGATTCTGCCCCCACATAAACATGCTGGCAATGCCGTATTTGAAAATATCTAGGAAAAAATCATAGGCATTAAATTTTTCAGAGTCCAAACATCAGGAGAAAACGAATAAACGAAACCCAGAAAAATATTAAGCGATTATACTTTTAAATTCCAAAAATCGAAGATCACCTATTCCGGTATACATAAATAAATATATATATATATTCTCACTAATAATAACTGATCAAGCGTTGCAGCTTATACAACTCATACTGCACACCATATTTTGTAACTTACAGCATTCATTAAGAAAAACATAGGCACAAAAAAGAAGAAGACAGAAAAGGAAAAGAAAAAACAGAAATATCTATAAAAAACAGATTTATTATTATTATTAATTTTTTTTTTGTCACACGCAATAAGCCAGTAGAAATCTGTACCTGATCCTCACTTGTGTGAACACATAGGATGTAATTTTTGTGTGTGTGTGTGTGTGTGTGTGAGAGAGAGAGAGAGAGAGAGATTTGAAGAGAAGGGTTTTGGCAGGCAATAGACGATGAAAATGTCCATGATCTTCGGAGCATGCACTTTTTGAACAAAAACTTCAACTTTCACATTATTTTATTGCACACAAACCATGATTTTGAAAAAAACAAATGCTTGCTCAGCAAGAAAAGATCTGGTAAGTACCTGTATACCTCTGTCTTTGAGATCCACACTTCTTTCAGCACAACCTTTTGCAGTTATATATATTAACTACGTGTGTGTGTGTGTGTGTGTGTGTGTGTGTGTGTGTGGAAGAACTTTCCTTGGTAGTCAATGGAAAGTTAAGAGGGCGGCGCGGCCAATTGTTAGGTTACTTGCGACGCCGTTAACGTTATGGTATGGTTTACGTTAAACCTTTAAGTCGTTCTTTCGTCTCCAAGAAGTCTGCGACGCGGTTGGAATATATTCAAATTAATTTATTCTCCAGATTCCTGAATATTCCAAATTACCACGTGCTTGACACTATTAATTATTACTAAATATTAAATTCAGATGTTAAAGAAAAATGAAACCTTGATCATCAACATGGAACCAATCGCGACCTAAACGCAATTTGACAAAAATATTGATGCATTGAAACAAGAGGCAACCATGGTAAATATGGTGTCAACAGAAATAATACATTATTTAATTTATCATTTACTTTTCTTTGCGATTTGATTGAAGCAGTTCATAGATTATTGGACTTCAATTACAAAGAAAAATTGACTAATTCCTAGCGTGTGGTAGCTGTCTTTTAGTACACCAACTTGTTTGTCACGTTGGAGAAACGAAAATTAGGTTGTTGCATGAGTTAATCAGTGACGAAAACGAACCATTTGTTTGTCAAGCATAATTAGCTCCTATTTGGTACCTAGGCCTCGTTTGGTACTCTCTTTTTTTAAAATGCATTTTTCTCTCTCTTCTTTTCAATCACACATTTTTCATTAAAATAATATTACACGTAAATCAAAAAAAAATTCATTTTTCAACCACACATTTCCCATCAATTTACTATTCCAAAATACATTTTTACATAAAAATGGCTCCCAAACACCCTCCTATTATTTAAAGGAAAAAAAGAGTATGGAAAGTTTTTAAGGAAAATGTGTGATTAAAAAGTACGAAAATGTTTTAGATTTACGTTTAGAATACTTTTATTGAGTGAATGTGTGATTGAAAAAAATCTTATACTAGAAGAGTTTTAAAACAATCGACACCAAATAGGAGCTTAGTTTCTGGTTAAATAACAAGTAGTGATCCATGCGCACGGGGTCCATACATTAGTAAAGTATATAGAAAAGGGACATTTAAAACAAGGAAAAAGACCGTGGGCAAACAAATAGAAAGTATTTATTCTCTCCATCCCCAAAAAATGATTGTTTCCATTTTACACAGATTAAGGGTGTGTTTGAGCTTCATTATTTGACATTATAATGAGATGAATAGTATTTTTTTTAAATGAGTGGTTGAAATTTTTTTGATTTACGTGTAATATTATTTTATTAAAGATTGTGTGGTTAAAAGTAGAAGAGAAAAAATTTTAATTTAATATAATGAGAAATAATGGGGCTCAAACGGGGGCTAAGAAAATATAATTAATATAGTTAAAAGTATAAATTTTTCTTACATTTTTTTTTAGTATAGTCCTACGTTAAATAATGATTTAATGTGAATAACTAATATTTAATGATAACAAGACACGGTAAATAGGGATATATTAGAAAATTAGGAATTCAACTATACTCTTAATAAGAAAAGTGATCTATAATATATCATAGACGAAAAAGAAAAGCAAATCTATTTTTATGGGGGAGAGGGTATGTATAATATTTTCTCATATCTTGCTAATGCATTATGCACCTATCAATGTGTAGATCTTTAAATGCAATTAAATCTTTTAATAATTTATTTGGACTCATTTGCAATTTTTAAAAAAATTTGGGAGTATAATTGTAATTTATTCTTTAATTTTTCTTTTTCTTTTGTTTTATTTAAATAGGCGTGTATATTTGTCATTTTACTTTTTTTTTATTAAGAAATTGGGTGAGGATATTTTCCACAATGAAAGATGAAAATAGGGGTGACAATGTCAAAAAATGAAAGATACTGACATTTTGTACAATAATATTAAAAGCTAATGATTTTTTGTGCTAATTACCCTTTAATATAGACCAAATCCGAGCCATTCATTTTACCCTCAAAGTAATACACCATTTGATTTGCACATGCCATTTTGACATTAGAGTTGATAGTTTCTGTTTAAAATGACTAATTCTATCAAAGACACAATAGGTTGAGAATTTAAACGTTCGATTTCTGTCTTTAAAAGTTCAATGTCAAATAGTTTCTATTTAAGATGACTAATAGTTTCTACCCTTGTTTGGTAGGTAGTAAAATCGAACTAAAATAAACTCAACGGTTTTTTATTTTGTTTGATTTAATTCCATAATCAAAAACAAATTATTAATTCAAATCAAAGTATACATTTTTATAAACAAAAGTTAATACTCACATAAAAAATAGTAATAATCTCATTCAATGCGAACAACATATTTCATCTTCATATAAAATATTATCTTATAAAAATCATTCATCGACAACAAATAAACATTATTAATTAAAATAATTGGTTTAGAACCGATTTTCGATTCCTAGCTCTAGGTACTAGAGTCGGAACAGAACCTTGAGAACCAAAGTCGTTTACAATGTAAGTGGAATCAAACCAAATCAATCAACTATGATTCAATTAGTCCCAATTCTTTTGTCCACCCCTAACACCATTAGTAATAGATAGTAGTATTTATTTGTAAATAAACCCAACAAAAAAAAAAAGAAAAAGGAAGAAAAATTGTATATTCTAACAGTTATAAATTTTTTGTTAATTTATACATATAATGAAGACTTATTAGAACAATTTACACTAATTATGAATGCTTAATTAGTTGTTCAAGGCTAATTAATTAATTAAGTTGCAGCCACGGAATCTTCCTGTTCTTGGCCATCACCAAAAATCCGATTCAAAATCATTGCCAATCGGACTCCACCCTGAGCTATTCTTTTCATGACGAGGGGCAGTCTCGAATCAAAGTATTCATCTGTACGAAAACAAATTACATATTTTAAAAACCGACATGAACATTGACCCAAAAAATATAGAGTCAAGGTCGATAAAAATAAATAAATTATTTAATTAACGTAAAAGTTCATTTATTTATTGTACCTGAAAGAGTATCTCCGGTTTCAACGCCTTTGTAACCCCAGTTGCAAGCTATGTTAATACTCTCAGCAGCATACCTGATAATATTATAGAACATAATTAAAGAACAGATAGACGTGACAAAATTTGTCTGTTAAATTTAGTTCAACTAACTAAATTGTTAGAATAATTCTAATATATGGTCTTTCCATTTGATTACAAATTTTACGAGTTAAATATATGCTCATAATGATACTGTGATTAAGTCCAATGTGTTAAGTGATCAGTTGAACAGTTTTACACGTTACAGATTATATTTTATATAATGTGATAATTTAAGTATGTGGGCTCGAAATTTGTGAATCCTAATTAGGGTTGAAATCGATAATGGGACGATTTAATAAATTTTTATATAAAGGATACGTCTCATCTCCTTTCCATATTGTTTTATTGGTTTGCCACATTGACGGCTAATACTTTGTAATGGGCAAGGAAGGAAGGAAAGATCTAGCTGTTAATATTTATATCCACAATGTCTTCCACAGATATAAATTTTAAACTATTAATTTAGAATTATGATTCTTATTTCTTAACATGATTATTATTAAATTCAACATAAATATGTCAAGTAATGTTTATAATGAAGAATACAAGTACACTATAGTGAAAAGGATATATGCTCACTTGTTGACACAAGTCGAGAGATTATCACAGTCCCTCCAAGAAGAAAGATCATCCGTCCATATGCCCTTTTTGTTTATCAAAAATTAAATTAGTATATAATACAAATTTTTGGAAGCCATTTTGAGGCAAATTGCAAGTCATTAGAGTATTTTCAAGACTTTTTAATTTTAAAAAACATTTTGACCATAATAGAGAGTAGCTCTAAATTTAAAAAGTGTAATATTTTATATATTTAAATAAATTTTTTATTTTACTTTTTTCAACAATCATTTATCGTTTTTCCTCTCATTTTTCAATTAATATATATATTTCTAGGTGTCATTGGCTAAAATATTCGATACGATATTAGTAAATCAAATGATGAAGTATAGAAACTTGCAACGATATTAAATGTAACACTATAAAATACAAATAGAGAGTGATTTTGATCATTTAAATCTAGATAGCCAAAGTCCAGACCCACCCTCCATTATAAAAAGTTAAAATAGAGATTATATTGAAACCTAATTTTAATAAAATAAAAAAATATTTCACTTTTAAAAAGAATCTTGAAAACGTTCTTAGAAGCCAATATATTAGGGATTAAAATCAAATTTGTAATAGATTTTGATTAAAATTAATGAAATCTGTGATTAAAAAATTGTGGATCTTACAAAATATATGATTAAAATTAATTGTTAACTTTAATTAAAATTTTAATTTCTACCAAACAAGAGCTAAGTTGGTCCATACATCTGTAAAATTTCCTTCAATGTCTTGTTGAAGGAGGCTCGTGTCCTTCCCATAATAATCTGCCGCAGCTGTCAAAATAATTTCTCTATCCCACACCTACATAGTTAAATAAAATGACGTTAATAAACCACGTTTAATTGAGCAAAATAATTTGACAAATAATCATTAATCATGTTAAATCTCAAACTTCCTTCACCATTAAATGCTTCCTATTTTGCTATTTCATACTTCGCCTCAATTTTTCACCACAAAAAATTAATTTTTTTAATCGTTATTTCACTATTTCAGTCGTCATTTCTTACTTCTCATTTCTATTCAAGAATTATAACATATTCAAAAAAAAAAAATAATAATAATAATAATAGAATTCTTAAATCGAGAAAACTCACGTGGTGCAAATTCGATTTGTGTCTGAACCAACGCAATTCAATCGTATTTCCTCCTGCATCACTTGTGAACCCAACATGCATGGGCTAATAGAAAACAATCACAAAAAGGGGGAAAAAATAAAAATAAATAAATAAATAAAAGAAAGAGAAAGTTGAGAAAAAAATAATCAAAGTAATAAAATTTACATAAAGGGCTCACTCACTTGATGAATATCTCCCATGAAGTGGGCCAAAAACAACAAAGCTTCGGTCATGTTGTCTGTAAACCAAATGAATTTAAATGAACTCATTTTTAAAATTCAATATTAAAAATTAATTACGTTTTTATTGATTTTAATTAGTTATATGCAAAAATATTTAAGAAAATTAACGGAGAGTAATTCTCTTACGACGTCGATCAGAGGTTCCATGCCTATAGTGTGAAAGCTGATTTGTGAAATTTTGAATGGCCCCAGCAACGCACATATCCTTCACTCCATGAGTATCATGACAATCCCCTTTAATTAATTGTACATGAAGATCCAAGAATTAAAATAAACGTTTTTTTCAATGAAAATATAAACATTTCGATAATTTTTTAAAAACTTTGCTATTTGTACACTGATTTTTGACACTTTGATTGACACTTGCATTGTTGTCAAATGTCAATTTGATGAAAAAACTATTTGAAATTTAAACTGTCCAATAAGATAATGACACGTAACAAAGTGCAAACTAAAAAAAAAAAAAAAAAAAAAAAAAAGAGAGACTTCTTGGAGAATGGTAGATAAACCAGAGCTTACTTTTGTAGTTGAAATTGCAAGCTTCATCGGGTGTGTCAATAAAGTGAAGAGGGCTCGTCCACCGGTATCTATACCAGTGCCTTACTTGATCCGGCCACACGCACAGGGCCGACAAGTCACCATCGACATAGTCAGGTAACAGCATTTGAACAGCCTGCGACGCCTCAGGTTCCAACAGGTCCTATGTTTTCGAAACAAATTATCATCTAATCTAAGCAAAAATGGATTCTTGAAATTTTGAAAGAACATGCATGGTTAGAAGAGTTTACCTGGGCAATTTTACATGTCATGACATGACCTTCTTTGCTCCATGCTTCAACACGAGGTCCATAACCGAAAGAAAAAACAAGAAAGAAAGCAAAAAAGTGTAAAGACATTCTCTTTAAAGCTGTAAGCTCTCTCAATTCTGCGAAAACGATTTTCTTGGAATTGAAAATGGACAATAATGAAGTGATACCATGGTGGAGGGCCTGTTCTATATATACATAAATTATTTATTTATGCTGATGTGTACAAGCTAAAGATTCTTCCCATTTCAATTACTCTCCAAGTAAGCTATAAACAGAAGCAACAAATGGGCATATTCCATAATACTAGAGGTATACCAACATTTGAAAACAGTGTGACTTTGAAGTTACACATAAAATACATGTTCTAATAGTAGACTTTAATGACAGACAATTGGTTACTTAGGTAGTTCATTTCTTGACGTGTGGAGAATTTCCAGCTTTGAAGGAATGATAAGATGCAATCCATCTCTATCCTCCTGTTACCATTCATTCTTTTGCAATTGACGGGTGTGATGCAAAAATTTGGTTGAGAATAACTGCCAAACGGACCCCACTTTGAGCCAATCGCTTCTCTACAACTGGCATCCGAGAGAGAAAGTAATCATCTGCACGAGACAGGAAAAAAGGTCACAAAGGATAACTATTATTATGCAATAACTCCAAGAGCTGAAGAGAATATCTTGCCTAATCGACCATGTGCTAGAACTACGCATAGAATTCATGTAACCACAAGAAATGAGGTGGCAGAAAAATAATTGAATTATTTCAATTTCTAGCTTCAGAAAACAGGGTTCATATGATAAGTATACTTCAATCCAAACTGCATTGTTTAACATATTTTACATGAAAAGGAAAAACAGCCCAGCCCAGTTAAATAATATTCTGAAATTAATTAGACAGTCATTAAAGAGTAAGAGGGTTAACAAGGCTCATTTGTACCTCCTAAAGTGCTCCCTGGTGTGGCATTTCTGTAAGCAAATTTACATGCTACTTTAACGCTTTCCGAAGCATACCTACACGATGAGCAATCCAATCATTTTTTTATGAATTTATTTACTACTAAGCATCAGAACTCTCAGACGATGACATCCTCCCTTTTCCTGCTAAAAAAACCATCATAGAAAGTCAGCTCCAAGAATGAAAATCACTTCTCAGATTAATCCAAGACACCACACCCATATAGTTCTCACACTTTTCTCTGATCAAACCATGCAATTCATTGACTTCGATGCTACATGTCAAAATTGTTAATGCTGTCAACTGCCACTAAAACTGATCTCTTCAAGAATTAGATGATCCAAGGAAATACGAATCAGGAGCCAATACGTATCTCAAGAAGATTGAAAAACGAAAGAGAAGAAAAAATTCGCATGATTTTTTAATGCACATAATAAAAAATTATCTCACAACCACTGCAAACTAGCAAATAGAAACAAGGACAAAAAATGTACTCACGTATCTGGACAAACTGTAGCATTGCAATTTTCCCAAGATGGAACATCAACCAACCAGTCATCCTATTGCCAGTTAAAAAAGAGGAAAAAAGATGATACGAATATGAACTGCATAAAATCTCTTACAATTTCAGAATCTGGCCAACAGTGTTTATAGATGCTATGGAAATGGCAAGGTTCATTAAGAAGTAAATATTCTTCAGAAAAAATATTTAAGGTGTTCTAAACGACGTTTCGAAAAGACAGCATAGATATCTGAGGCATCCTTGTTCCCTTTAATATATCTTACAACCATATTCACAAACGCAATAGAAGGATTCGTATGAATCTTACGGTGATATTGCTCTGAATCGATTGAATCATTTCATCGATATCTTTGTTATAGAATGTCTTCATGGCTGATTCAATTATCATAGTATCCCATACCTTCAATAATGTAAACATGATAAGATAGCATTAAAATTAAGCAAAAAATTATTAGGACCAAACACATCAATGAATCCAAACTTGGCAGCATCTTATGAGAATCATCTTAGAAAATGAATTTGAGAATTTAATCAAAATCCTTCCTCAAATTAATTTGATTTCATGAAGGCCTGAGACAATGGTGTTTTGGAGGGGATGCAAAAGGGAGTGGAGATATCACATGCAGAAAGGAGGAAGTGGTCATACTTAGAAAGGAAGAGGCTCAAAAATGGCAAATACCACTTGATTGATATTGAAAGAATTAGCAGGTTGCATCTTATCACTTAACAGAATATCAGTATTGTTGATCTAAAGAGCTTGAACATATGTTGCTTATTGGAGAAAATATGTGTAGGAAGATGGATGGTGTTCAAAACTTTGAATCCAAAGTTACACAACTTACATGGTGCAAATTAGTTTTCCTTCTGTACCAACGGACTTTTATTGTGTTTCCACCCTTGTCTCCAACAAAACCAACATGCAGTGGCTGCCAACCAAAATGAATTTTTCAAACAATTGAGTCTACATATTCTTTATTTGTTTATATTTCCTAGAGAAATGTCCTACCATGAGATAAGACCTCTTGTACGTTCATACGTTGGTCAAATAAATTACCTTTAAGGAAGTTAAGTGCATATATTTAAGAGAACTGAAGGTTTTAATTTATAATCCTTACAGTACAAGCAGGGGGTCAATATTCATGCACTAAATGCCCAACATTTTCACTTGGTAAATATCAAGAAGCAATATCATACAGTGTCGCTGTTAAAAGAAAGCAGATTTAAGAACCATAATATACAACTTCCTAATTAATTATGTGCCAGATATTGTAATTAACAATTTTTTCATTACATAAAATGTAAAATCCAAATGATCAGCAAAAGAAAATTTCAAATGTCAATGCCTCTCAACAAAACCTGTGTTCATTCTTTTTTTTTAAGCTGTTAAGTTGATTTTTTCCGCAATCACTGTCACTTTGCATTATCAATTTCATACTTTCAAATGATATTAGGACTACGAAAGATGAGCTGACCTGATGGACGTCACCAACAAAATGCGATAAGAACATGAGTGCCTCTGTCAAGTTGTCTGCCATTAAAAGAAATGAGCGTCCAATTTTCATGGTGTCACCAAATCAGCTAATTATTGATTCTTACATTTTAATCCTAATGAATCAGAAGCATAAGAAGATGACTCAAGTTGCTTGGTATAGTTATAAATTGCTCCAGTGACACACCTATCTTTGTGTCCATGAGAGTCATGGCAATCTCCTGTCAGAAATTAGACGAGATATTATACAAATATTCTCATCAGGTAATAACAACTTATAAGTTATTTTCTCTTGAATATTTTTTGACCTCAAATAAAGATATATGTCTTTTGATGGTAGGACTAAAGTTGATGAAATAGTATCACAAAAAAGAGAAGAAATCATGATAATTATGACTTAGTCTCTGCTTCTCCATGACCAATTTACGTGGCCATGACAGTTAAGAATAGATTATATAAATTCAAGAGAGAAGCCATATTTATTTATATATTCAGTAGCAACATAAAAACCTAAAAAGAACAGAAAGACCACAATTGATTCCTAAATAGGAAGGACAACGAGAAAACAATTGAATTCTGCCTTTGAGAGCTAAAAACAATAATATACATGATTCTCATAAAGAAACATGCAGTAATATGCAACCCTAACCATCTCAAATCAGTGGAAACAGGACATTACCTAAGTAACTTAAGTGGCATTTCTTTTCTAGTCAAATAATGAAAATGGATATTGTTTAAGAGATGAACAAACTAAAACTGATGGATACAAATTAATGAGGAAGAGATTTTATCTTACTGCAATACTTGTAGTTGCACCTAAAGTCAGGTGTATCAACATAATGTAAAGGACTACTCCAGCGATAGTGGTAGTGGTGCTTAATCTCATCTGCCCAGTAGCAAACAGGAGCAAGGTCACCTTCAGCCGTATCTGGAAGCAATGCTTTGATTGCAGTCAAAGCATCTTCAGTAAGATATTCCTATATAGTTCCAAAACTGTCTACATCAGTTATATTGAAAGAGTTCTTCATCAAGGTAACTTAAATTCTTGAAAGAACCGATCTAAGAAGCATCGAAACAATATTCCCTTGACCCTCGCTACCTTCATTTAGGATCATGAATAAAATGTGAACTACAAACCGAACAACCCAACCGATCTTGATTGGGTTGGATTTAAATACGTAATTGGGTTCGATTAGGTTAATTTTATATCAAACCGAATATGTTGACTTGGGTTAGGTTTGGGTCGAGTAAAAACCCAACCCAACCCAACCCATGTCCACCCCTTAATAACGTGCAAAAAAAAAAAAGAAAGAAAGAAAGAAAAAAAAGATTAGATCTCTATTCAAAAGGAGAATCCAAAATGTGGGAAATTTTTGAAAACTCTTTTGATACTCTTGAAGGTGTTAGACTGATTAAGGTTGCTAATCTATCATTAGATGAGCCAGAATTGAAGATTGTTATTTTTAATAATAATGAAGAAATTGTTGTTGATGTAGAAGGAAGTGAAGTTTCTACAATTAATGATTAAGATAAAGTGTTTTGGTATTTTATTTATTTTCATTATCATGCTTCTGTATTAATTTTTTTTAATATTAATAAATTTATGTTGAAATTTATAACACGTATCGGCGTATCCTAAGTTTTTCAAAAAAGTCATATCGGCGTATCCATATCGTATCGTACTCGAATTATGTATCCGTATCCGTGCTTCTTAGGAACATATCTCTTTGACATTGTTAAGCGTTCAATTTTTTTGAGCTGTTCTCTGAAGGGTCTTTCTTGAAATCTTGAAACAACAGGCTTTATTAGCACCTCTATTGATATGCAATTAAAAAAAAAAAAATATTTCGCGTAGAACTCTTGGGAGGTTCCCAGACCTGATTCGAAGAAGATTTAGCAAATATTTATGTCAGCCATTTAAAACTTTGAAACACAAATGAGCATTCCTAAATACGAAACAATCATGATCTAAGCGGTGAAAGTACAGGCCAGTAGCATTCAAAGGCTTGTTCAAATTATATACTCTTAACACTGTTCTTGCCATCTATTGCCTAGCTTTACAGGCGAAAAAATAACATCATTATCTGCTTGCAATTCCAAATATCCCTTCTGTACAGTATTTATAATCCCTTGCAGAAATACAAAAAACTGAAATTTGCTTTGTTTTCCAGTAAAGCAAAAAATTATTGCCACACAAAATAGCTGCTGGTAAGTCACTCTAAAACTCCAAAAATATAGGAGTAGCTATCTGCTACCAATAATATTATAACTTCAATAGCATCATCGTATTCATCTTTAACTAGAAATCAAAATTGTTATCATCATAAAAATTGAAATTTTATATTTCTTGAATTGGGGTCAGCCATCAAGAGAAGATATCTTTGATTATTTTATGCATTTCACACAACAAAAATTCCATTATCAACCACTGAAAATAACTTTACAGCGCCTTTTTTTTTTTTTTTTTTTTTTATATTCAAAATCCTCATAAACATAATTAATAAAAACACAGAAATACCTCAGCAATTTTGCAAATGATAAAGTGGCCTTCTTTTCCCCAACCATGAACTCCCCAAATAATTAGCAAGAAAACCATTGCCCTCCCCATCCACCGCGGCTCAAGCTCACCCATTACTGCCACAGATCATCAAAGATCAGTATTACCATCGATCCAATTATACACACACACACACACACGAATACGTACATTAAGAAGTTTCAAAGAACAGAAATCAATGTGCCTGCAATCTGAGAGTAGTACAAAGGCTGAGAAGAAACCCACAAATTTTCAATCAATTATGGCAAATAAATTTTCCTACAGCTGCAGTGTAGTGGTTGGGTGATTGTTATGCCGTTATTTTTATATTGCTCTCTATAAAATTAAATGATAAGGCCCCCCACCAGTGGTTCTGTCCTGTCCAGCGCCACACAGTGATATAGCCGGGAAAAAATCGATCATCGGTAATTTTAAACCGATCGTAAATGCAAGAATTTTTTTTAGTATATCCTCTAAAAATATTTATTCAAAACCCCTTAATTTCCTTCCAAAAAAAAAAATTGATCTCCTCGAAATTTAATTTTTATAATAGATTTTACTTATAAAAAATCGATCTCCTAAGTATCGATACTTAATTTAAGTGTGCCTAAGATCAATCATATCCTCTTATATGTCAAAAAATTATCTATTTTCAATTTTATCGTTCCAAATAGTTATTAAATAATGCAATTAAATATTATTCCTTAATTTTATTTTTTTTCCATTTCGTATTTTGGTTTGGATGATATATGTAGTCTTAGAATCCAAATAACAAAGATAGGATCATGAGTTACTAGACATGGACATTCGACGAGTCCTTCCTAAGTTTTTTTAATATTAGGAACCACCCATTATATTTCGGACATTTTATAATGAAAATATTCAAGTCTGAGTAATTATTGGAATTGAACACGAATTGTCAATTTAGAAACCGTTTGAGCCCCATTATTTCTCATTATAATGTTTTGAATAGTGTTTTGTTTCAAAAATGAGTGATTGAAAAGTTTTTAATTTATGTATAATATTATTTCATTGAAAATTGTTTGGTTAAAAGTAGAAGAGACAAAAATTTAATTTAATGTAAGGAGAAATAACGGGGCTCAAACGGGGGCTTAGTTGTACCTGAACAATTTTTTTTAAAAAAATCATGAGACCACATTGCATATTATCTTCACAATATCAATTGAAAATACAAAAAATAAAATACCAAAAACATATTTCAACTATTTCTTAACCATTGTAAACAAAAATGACATTCGATATCTAGAAATATAGAATCCAATTTTTGCTATGACTCTTGCTTGCAATGCCTCAATAAGGATTTATGGGACGAACAATACGTAAAGATCAACTAAAAACGAGAGTGATATAATTCAAATATTTAAATGAAAATCTAATTGGTTAGGATGATTACTATTTGGATCTTAGCAAACGTGATACTTGCTAAGCCGTACAAGCTTTCTACTTGCAAGGTTTGACTTATTGGAATTGGGTGAATAAAAAAAAATAAAAAATAAACTTACGAAACGGATAGATTTGGTTGTAGATAGGATAGATTTGGTTCTAGAGTCGATATCAACAGTTTCAATTCAAGAACCAATAATAGTTCGAGATCCAATCAATTCTCAATTCTAATTTCTAAATTTTTATTACTATTTGGATCTTAGCAAACGTGATACTTGCTAAGCCGTACAAGCTTTCTACTTGCAAGGTTTGACTTATTGGAATTGGGTAAATAAAAAAAAATAAAAAATAAACTTACAAAACGGATAGATTTGGTTCTAGATAGGATAGATTTGGTTCTAGAGTCAATATCAACAGTTTCAATTCAAGAACCAATAATAGTTCGAGATCCAATCAATTCTCAATTCTAATTTCTAAATTTTTATTTATTTATTTTATTTTTTTTAAGAATTGAACGAGAACTTCCTACTAGGCTTCGAAAGGTTGGATCCCCTCTCTACATAAATATCTTCATCAATTATTACCGACATACGATGAGGACAAGACCATGTTCATTACTTTTTCTTATTCTCTTTTGAGGTGGGTCCACTCTTTAATTGAAACGAACACACATGTTTCACAAGTGTTACTAGTCAAACTAAAATATTATTACTATAGACAAAATTTAAATGCAAACCCTTAAAATAAACCAAACATAAACTAAATCGAGTGTCGATAATTTTTGAGTCGAATCATCTGCTTGATCAAATCCACTTACAGCAAATTTTTAAGCTTTAGTCAAACATTATTTCATGTGTTTTCCTAGCCATAAGTATCAGAATCTGTAACGTGATCCCTCAGGCCAGGAAGAATTTATTTCAACCACTGCAAAGAGCTTCAATTGCCAAGCTTTTCGGCACATTAAGACATGGATCTCCTAGTTTTGTTGTTGAAATAGGAACCGAACATCTCTGCTTCCCAATACACGCCTGTAATATCATCAAAATACGTCAGGAATTTGCGCATATTGCCTCTCACCAACACACACTACGATCTAATGACGAGAGAAGTTAAAATGAAGCTAGCAACGACTAATCGTGTAATGTTAATTGCATCAAGCTTTTCGGCACATTAAGACATGGATCTCCTAGTTTTGTTGTTGAAATAGGAACCGAACATCTCTGCTTCCCAATACACGCCTGTAATATCATCAAAATACGTCAGGAATTTGCGCATATTGCCTCTCACCAACACAAACACTACGATCTAATGACGAGAGAAGTTAAAATGAGGCTAGCAACGACTAATCGTGTAATGTTAATTGCATTTCTGACTGATTTGTATAGTATACCAGCATAATCTAACGAAATTCTGTAGAATTCTACTCGATGCATCATATGCATGTTCATGTACTTCAGAAAATTACATCTATTTCTTCTCAAGAATATTGCCATGTATATTGTTCTATTCCCCGAAGAGATTCTGAAGAACACATCTTTCTCTCTTTCCTTCTATGGATAGCATTGGACTGCTGCTTAAATTACATTGACTGAGCCATTTTTATTACAATATCTATTACTCTCTTCTATTCTTGCTTATGCCAAAAGCCTCAGCCTACTGTGGTTAAACATTCTGAACGTTTACGGCATTTCTACACAAATTGTCGCCGAAATGCAGACTTAATGTGGGGAAATAGTAGGACAATCTTTACCTTTGGTTTCACCTCGTCTAAAGAAGTATATCTAATATTTTGTTTTGTACAGTGGGCAGTTTGTAACAGAATAAATGAATGATATGATGAGCTTACTTACCTGCTGAACAATTGATGAAACATTGGCATGACAAACTCCTTGACTGAATGCTCCACAATCTCCTCCAGGGGTACCAAAGCTAGCAAAGCGAATAGCAGCAATTTTCCATCCTTCCTCACATGCCAGTCGCAGTTCAGGAGTTTGAGATATGAAACCCAATTGTGGTTTCCAAGTATCAACTGGTGGAAAGTCGGGGGGGGGGGGGGGGGGGGGGGGGGTGGTAAAAAGTAGCAAAAAGTTACGGTGGAAAATGAGTTTGAGGAAAAATGATTTTCAAATAAGTTGTGCAAACAAATGCCAAATAATTGTTAACACATACAACACGAGAAAGTAACATCATTGATAGGAATTAAATGGACGAAAAGACGGTCGCCATAGTGCTTTAATTTGTCTGAAAATGATACTAGTTACGGATGGTCCCTTGAAAATCAACCAAACAACTATTCTTTCCACAAGTTGTAGGTAACATAAAGCAAACGATAATCAAATTACTTCTTTACTTTAATCCCCAGTGAAACCTCAGCGAAATTAATTAAAGTGCATTTGGCTTTCTCACTTACAATGTTTGAGCCGGTTGACCACACTTCTTTAAACATTTGGATGCATCATAAGTTCCCCTGTAGTCACAACTCTCTGAACAGCCAGTTGATGGTGAGAGATAAGTAGACCAATATCGTCCTATACTCTGCCCATTGACCCATACCTGACCCTTCCCCATGCTAGAAAGATTCAATGACACAGGACCCTTTCCCTCAGGTGCGAGGAATATAGCCTGAGAATGAGAAGCTAGATGTCAATCCAAGCATTTTAAGAGTTAATTCTTTTTTGTCTCTTTCGGAAGTTATCTCTGATTAGCTATGCAAACAAAGGGGGAAAAATAGATGTATGCAAGCAGAAAGGGAGAAAAACACTAGTGCTTATTACTCTCATCAGACTGTATGGTTCAGAGAATTCCTTTTAAATTCTGCATTTCTTCCACCTACACTTCTGCTTTTCATGCTTTTACTCGGATCAATGACATGTTCCAAATATGATGCCCAAAGGCTACAGAGAATAAAAGGTCAAGGATCCCATAGATGCTTCATTTGGGCATCATTCATTTTTTCAAGCATTTGCACGCAGAGAGATCCAATTAATAGGAACATTTTTTTNCACTCCCCTGAGTCCATACTGAACTATTTGCAAGAGATATGTTATCAAGTCCAATAAATTCCCCTTCAAGACCCACCTGGAAAGATTACACATCCCGAACATCATTTTCATGTCATTAGATGTCAAAGTTGCAATCTTCCTGAAGTGAAGTACAAACTCACTTCGTGAAAACTTCAACAATTCAAAGCACAAGCTAAAAAATGATTTCCCAATTGTATGATGATCACTTGATTAAATTACATCATGTAGACTGCAATATAGTTTATTGAGGTTAAAGCCAACAACCTGATAAGTCCACTGTGCAGAAGAAAGATCCTCCTTGGAATTCTTCAAATGGGTGAGTATAACGGAATATATTCCTGCCCCTTGGATATCAAACCATGGTCCATAATTCTGGAGAATGATATTCAAGCACCAGGAAAAGTTAAGTTCATTTGCAGGAAAAATTTTGCGTTTTAAAAACAAGAAGGTACCAAAATATATGTTAAACATTTCAGGGAACTATGCTAGGCAGACACATTTGAGAGGAAAACTTTCTCATTTAGCTATCTTGTAAATGGAACTTTTGCAAGTTTCATCTTCATAAATAATAAAAGGAAAACAGTTCTGTTGTATCCTAAATTGGTTAGCAACATATTCAAATGTCCTTTTCTTTTGTCATTTGAATTGAACTCTTGCCTTCAATTTATTCCTTGTTCCTCATGCTCGAAGAGTTCCAAAATAAAAGAAGTCTGCAATGAAGTGGCAATGTCACTGGTTATCTAAACTTTTAAATGCTAAACTGCTAGCTTATTCTTTATCCAAGAAAGACGTAAGATCTTATGTCAATTTTTAAGTCTTTATTTGAAAAAATAATAATGCAATGTGAATGACTTCTATCATCTAGATGTCATTTGTTTGGATATTATTTTTTCAATTTGCAATGCACAGAAAGTCATGATTTCCAGTTGTATGCATTAGTAAAAGCTTTATAAGGTAACCTACGTTTGTCCATGAGAAATCTCTGGTCCTTGCTTTCTTTTCCTTTTGATATGCAAAATTAAAATGTGTCACTGTACTTAAATCTCGTCACTGGCAACACAAATTCTCAAGGTCCTACATGAGATAATGATATTATATGAAGTGTTTATCCTTTTCTTCACTGGTCAAAGAGCACAGATCAAAATAGTAATCCCAGAAATAATTTGATTTAGAAAGTTGTAGTAGCACCACTAAAGCAGCAGGAATCCAAATCCTTTCACATAATGTATACCATAAAGGGGGCACAATAAATTTTTATTAAACAGTAAAGCATAAGCAACTTCTCTAGAAACTTGTATTGGGGTTGCCACAAAGAAACAAAATTCCATAACTTTATTAGTAAAACCTCATTTTTATTGAATTTTACTGTATTCAGCGCTTCCACCTCATAAATAAAGATGATACCATTCAGAAATATTAGTGATCAAAAAATTATAGGAATATTCTAGCACGTTTGTGTTAGCTCGCACCAATCTCTATCACATATTCTACTGCTAGTGATTAACAAAAAGAAACGAACATTGTTCTTAAGTGTGCTGTTGCACGGTTAAGATAGGGAGATTAACATAATCAAATAAACGCTATTAATTAAATTTTTAAGAATGCTAGTGAGGACAATTTGAAACATTTTGGATCACCTGTAAACCAATCATCATACTCAGCACATCCAATGTATTACTTCCACTGTGAAGGCTAATTTTTTCCGCGAGCACAAAGCTGGCATCATCATGATTACCATAGCCAAATCCTGAAAAGTCCCAAGTAAAAACATATATGTATGCATAGATCAAACGCTAAATCAATTAGACTGCTAATATCATGTTCAGGTTTTGAAAAATTAATTCCAGCCACTTGTCAGAGACTCAGAAGTCAATTACTTCCCTCCCTTGTTTACCAAGCTTTGCCTTTTCAGATGCCCAAAGATTTGCTTCATCTATATCCAATGATTTTTCTTTAATTCCCATTACAACCACACAAAAGAGAAAAAAGCTGAAACGATGGAAGTCATTTTTCTCCTGTGACAAATTTTAAATCTAAAATGGGGCCAAATAGGTGAAATTAAATTTACATCACGTTCTTAAAATAATATGCATATTAAATTGGTTTTACAAAATAAAGCAAATGTTATAGATGTAGTGAGTATAAAACTGAGAAGAAAATCCACAAGTCACAGTATATACATATGGACTAACACCCAAAAAAATGATTGGAGCCAAGAGATTAATGCCTAAACACATCAAAAGGTGAGAAGAGTATTAAATGTCATAGACTTTGATGTAATTTCATTTTCTGAGCTTATGAACCTAACAAAGATCATTCTTAAGGAGTTTAAAAGTGGATCTATCATTGATTGAGGGATGGGAAAGAGATAAGGAGCTCCAATGCCAGACACCATTCTTCAGTGCAAATCTATAATTAACTCATCATGGAGAGAACAAGTGAACAACTGGCTTATCAGTGAAAGTATCATGCAGGATTTACATATCAAGATAAGCTTAATCAATTACAGCATAAGAAGGAGAGGGATCTAGCATTAACACTATGCAGGCAGAGAATTGAATAAAGTCCCTAATTAATCTTGAGAAATAAACAAAAACGTAAAAATAACTTCAATAACTTATATCTTATATACTTTAATGTAAAAATTTAAAAAGCAATACAAAAAGAGAAGAGATGAAAGGTCTAATTAATGCATTACTTACCTACTAGTCTTTTGTTTACAAAAACAAGAGCTGCATGTCCCAAACTCCCAATAAGCAAGCCTAATTCTTTTGTTTGATTTTGCTTGATTTTCTCATCCACATTTATGCTGCCAAACATGGCCAAAAAGTAACATGGAAGTTTTTGGAAGAAATGGTTAGGAAATATACAGAGCTTCAGAAAGTCAAGAAACAACTAGATAAATAATAATAATTACTTAAATAATATAAATAGTGTCTCGTGTGTCAAATTTCAAATCTAAAGTATTTTCACTTCTGGTATACAACAACAAAGCTCAGAAATGAAAAGGAAAGAACAGAAGATTAAACAAGACTATTTTTACTCTTTTCCCGGTTGAAAACTCATTTTCTACCCCCATTTTAGTTTTTTTTTTTTTTTTTCCCCAAGAGCTGATGATATTTAAAGAACGACTCCAAAAAATCCAGAATAATATTGAAGTGCATTGATCAAGTACCCTTAAATTCAAATCAAGCAGTGAATTTGCAAATTTAGACTTCTGCATAACATTTATAAGAGACTTAACCAAGGGAAACAACAACCAAAAAGAAAAATAAAAAAACAATCCAGCATATTACCTTGTTGAGTACCATAGAAAATCAGTTGTATCTTTTGTCGTATTTATCTGCTCCAGTAAACGCGATGCCTCAAATGAGTTATTTCCCCAAATGCCCACTTTTTCTTTATGCCAACTCCAAGCTGATGATGCTAGTGAAGACTCAAGCATAGTAATGTGAGTGAAAACATCATCACCACTAGTTTTTTGTGAAGCAACCTTTGACCATATCGTGCAACAAAAAATAAAAATAAAAACCTTCATAAGATATTGAACCAGAGAGGTGTTCAACTTTGGTGATGCTTCCCCAGCTAAATCAGAAATTCAAACAGATGCATCACCGATAGAAAATTTTCAATTAGAGAGAGAGAATCAACTCCCCAAATTCACCAAAGTTTCCAGAAAAATAATTCTTAATGACAAATAATCATGAGATTTGTGACCCCTATCTAACCACTAACGTATTCTGATTCTTAGCAATGATTCGGGCCTAAGAAATTAATTGTATCTGTTTTACATGGCTATAAAATTACTCCTTTGGCTACTCTTAAGAATTCCAACTGGACCACTTTAGTGGCAATGAAAAGATCAAGATAGTGATTTCTCCTTTATGAACATGCGAGAGGATCTCTGTAGACGTAATCCTCACATTTAATTTATCTTTCTGCATCCCTTATCTCAAGAGTTTACATAGAAATACCATCTTCTACCAATGAATTCGTAGTCATATCCCATGACAAAATTAAACCATATTTATATATGCATCATATGATGACTTTAAGATCAGAAAATTGGCACCTAAAGGCAGTAGGTGACTCTAGAAAAAATTAATGAGAATTAGATTTTCTTGTGTTATAAAAATTCCAGACATTAAACCGTGTATTTCCCTTGGTGTTTCCTTTCTAGTTGACTCTCCCCTCTATCCTTTATCAATCCGTTGGGAGACGTTACAAATAGATATTCAGGAACAATTTTATTGTGACTGTCGGACCAAACAAGGAATTAAGATAGGGATATACATGTCAAAATTTAATCCTAATTTAGCTAAACCATCAACCCTGGACCCCGTTCCAAATTTCTGAAAATGAAGAACGGATAATAGGAACTTACAGTATTATTCATGAAGGAAAAGAGAACAGAAAAGGGCAAGAGGGGATTACCTTTGCCGTGTTGAATATAACATTCTTACAATCAGGAAGAATGCTGACAGACCATGCAGGAAGGAAGTATGAATTTCCATTGAATTTGACAGTACCGTCCGAAGTGCTACCATAATTAGCAAGAAAGGCTGCACAGTCATTGGAGGATCTATAGTACACATGTGCCTGACAGAGAATTGATTGTTAAATTCGCTGTAAATGCAACATTTTCAACATGAAAATTTGTAGTCATCGTATGGTACAGTTTGTAGACCTAAACATACTGATAAGATGCCCATTATAAATTTTTATTTTTTTATTTTTTTGCTTGCATGATATAAAACAACATAAGCCATCATTAACATTTCGATTGGTCATTTAGGTATTTTGGATCATACATTTCCTTGTTCTTTTTAGAAGTAATATAATTTGGAATAAATTCAGTCACTGAGTCCTAAATAGCTTCCGAATAACTCTGAATTGTCCATTTCGAACCCACTCAAGGTATAAATATCATGTCATTGATAATTAAAAGGAAAAAATAAGATCTTTAGATGTTACCTCAAGATTCACACCAAGGGAAATTTGAATTGGATTGGAATTCACTAAATATTCTTCACACTGCTTAATTGCTAAATGTAGGTCACGCAGGTGGCCCCACTTCAGTTGCCTGATAAAACCTACATAATACCTCAAACAAGCTTGAAAAGGATTGATAGCAGTTTATGCTTTCTTTATCATGGTTATTTTTCTTTCCTGTAGAATTAATGGTCACTTCTTTTATTTTTTTTTATTTTTTTATTTTTGGTTGAATCTCTTCAAGAAGGTACTAAATTAAAAAGTCTTACGCCAAATGCTAATATAGCATTGACTGTCTCGGCTGAATGTCCACCTTGTCATTGCCATCTCAACTGAATTATTCAAAGCCATTCAGTTATCCTTATTAACTTGCGAGTAAGCTGTATTTCATGCATCTTTCTCTATTGGAAAGGAACAAAACTTAAACTTGAAACTTATATGGTTAGTTGTTAACGATCAAGCTGACAAATTTTTGCAAATTGANGCACTGAGACACCCGATGAAAGATAGTGGAAACGAGTTACTATTTGAGGGCTAGCGTGAACAGAGCCTTTGAGAAAGAGAGTTCAGCCCCGATCCCCCTAATTACTCCATATGGCATCAAGGTGGTTGATTATATTAGACAACAAAATTTAATAAAAGACAGACCCGTAGTTCCATTCTGCACAAGCGTAGGGACCTATTCTCAGATGCACAAAGAGGTCAGCATCCTGCACTGTCTTCACGAACCTTACAAGGTCAAACCTGCCTTCAAAATAGTACTACAAATTTTGAAAAGAGTCACTAACAGAGTTGATAGTTATGGTGATAATGAGGAAACAATAATTGCAAATAAATTTATATCTGTTTTTCACTAATATAATTTTTCGTGCTTGGAAGTTGGGGTACTCCAAGCCAATTTTTCTAGATACCATGGAGAGGATGAAGAGTAAGCCGTATTATTCATAGAAGTGGTTCCTGGAATGGAATTGCACCAATATTTAATATACGTAAAATATATCATCCTTTTCGCATTAAGTTTCAAAGCTGATGCAAATCAGCATAGTTTAGGGAAAAAATTTGGCCTTTGACTATATCTGATACAATAGATTCTATAGTCTGGAGGTTCCATACCTGCCAATATTCATTGCCAAGGAATGGAAACAGAAACAGAATAAAGTTCTGCTTTTGATATTAAAATGTATGGTGGCAATTGTTTCCTATATGACCATTAGTTCTCATATATGCACATAAATCTTTATGCAACTACCACAAGAAGATTTAAAGAGTAAAGACCTTGGCAGACTGGTAATTAGTTCGACCTATCATATAATGCAGAACTAAATCAAATACAGACCACATTTCAGCAAGAACTTAATAAGTAAAATGTTTATTCACTCAAGAATCTCCATAGCAAACCACAAGATTTGGCTTATATTCTCATCGAATTTCAACCAACGAGTTCACTAGTTAAAATAAATGCACTTTGCAACTTTTATACCTCTCCTCTGACAGGCTCATGATAATTCCAAAAGACATAAGTCTCAATCACGTCCAATCCTCCTTCCTTCGCCTTTCTAATGATTTCTGGCCACACCTACAATTCACCAACAGCAGAAAACCAGACCTGAATTCCAACTCATTTTACTAAAACTAAAATTACGGATGAATATGAAGAATCCTTCTGATTATAAGAGATCAATAAATCATCATTACTACACCAAATACTAATAAAATTCACTCACATCAGGCGTGGTTCGCGGATAATGCACAGACCCTGACTGCAAAATTCTCCTCGTTCCATCAATAACCAGTGCCTTGCTATCATATGTTACAGTAGTGGAAAACGCTCTTTCATAATAATTACCTTCAAACACTAAAATCACCAGTAAAATTATCATAATGGCATTCATCCTTTCCATATTAAATTGGAACCCACACAAGTATAACAGACTTAAAAACCCTAACCTTATATTACGCCTCAATGTAGATTCGTAAAATTAAATTATCATTTTGATAACATTCACCACTCAATGAATATTATCTAAGACATAATTATAGTCACTACCACACAAATTACTGCAGCTTGCAATATTTTAAGCGTTTGGTGAGAAAATTTCCATAGTAGACTGCCATGTACATAAGAAGAAGCAACCTGTGAAAGAATGATTGGTCCTCCTTGTGATGCAAACAGATTCTCATCCTTCATCAAGTTAACTATCTTTGCAAGAAAATGCTTCATTTCATTCTGCTAGACAATAACACAGGCTTTATAGAAAATCTTAACATTTTATAAGTAAAATAGGAATGTGATAAGCATAGAATCATTGGAGTTCAACACCGACTACACAGATTAAAATTAACCTTGAAAAGGTCATTTGTGGTTCGAAACTGTATTCCAGGAATAAAGTGCAACCAGACTGGGAATCCCCTGATGCACAGGAAATGCAAAAATAATTAAACAGCATAAGATGCAGCTAGAGGGGACTGATTATTTTATCTTTCAATTTAGAATAAAACTTTGAGATTGCATAGCCTCTAAATCTTCTTCTTCTTTTGAGAAAGAAACTAAAGGACATTTTTAAGATGCCATAAATGAAGGTAGGGTATTTTTACATAATAAAATCTACAAAGATAGGCTATGAGCTGTAGGACTGCACTGAGACACCCGATGAAAGATAGTGGAAACGAGTTACTATTTGAGGGCTAGCGTGAACAGAGCCTTTGAGAAAGAGAGTTTAGCCCCGATCCCCCTAATTACTCCATATGGCATCAAGGTGGTTGATTATATTAGACAACAAAATTTAATAAAAGACAGACCCATAGTTCCATTCTGCACAAGCGTAGGGACCTATTCTCAGATGCACAAAGAGGTCAGCATCCTTAACTGTCTTCACGAACCTTACAAGGTCAAACCTGCCTTCAAAATAGTACTACAAATTTTGAAAAGAGTCACTAACAGAGTTGATAGTTATGGTGATAATGAGGAAACAATAATTGCAAATAAATTTATATCTGTTTTTCACTAATATAATTTTTCGTGCTTGGAAGTTGGGGTACTCCAAGCCAATTTTTCTAGATACCATGGAGAGGATGAAGAGTAAGCCGTATTATTCATAGAAGTGGTTCCTGGAATGGAATTGCACCAATATTTAATATACGTAAAATATATCATCCTTTTCGCATTAAGTTTCAAAGCTGATGCAAATCAGCATAGTTTAGGGAAAAAATTTGGCCTTTGACTATATCTGATACAATAGATTCTATAGTCTGGAGGTTCCATACCTGCCAATATTCATTGCCAAGGAATGGAAACAGAAACAGAATAAAGTTCTGCTTTTGATATTAAAATGTATGGTGGCAATTGTTTCCTATATGACCATTAGTTCTCATATATGCACATAAATCTTTATGCAACTACCACAAGAAGATTTAAAGAGTAAAGACCTTGGCAGACTGGTAATTAGTTCGACCTATCATATAATGCAGAACTAAATCAAATACAGACCACATTTCAGCAAGAACTTAATAAGTAAAATGTTTATTCACTCAAGAATCTCCATAGCAAACCACAAGATTTGGCTTATATTCTCATCGAATTTCAACCAACGAGTTCACTAGTTAAAATAAATGCACTTTGCAACTTTTATACCTCTCCTCTGACAGGCTCATGATAATTCCAAAAGACATAAGTCTCAATCACGTCCAATCCTCCTTCCTTCGCCTTTCTAATGATTTCTGGCCACACCTACAATTCACCAACAGCAGAAAACCAGACCTGAATTCCAACTCATTTTACTAAAACTAAAATTACGGATGAATATGAAGAATCCTTCTGATTATAAGAGATCAATAAATCATCATTACTACACCAAATACTAATAAAATTCACTCACATCAGGCGTGGTTCGCGGATAATGCACAGACCCTGACTGCAAAATTCTCCTCGTTCCATCAATAACCAGTGCCTTGCTATCATATGTTACAGTAGTGGAAAACGCTCTTTCATAATAATTACCTTCAAACACTAAAATCACCAGTAAAATTATCATAATGGCATTCATCCTTTCCATATTAAATTGGAACCCACACAAGTATAACAGACTTAAAAACCCTAACCTTATATTACGCCTCAATGTAGATTCGTAAAATTAAATTATCCAAACCATATATCTGCATGTTTGTCCTGATTGATAAAGAGGAATATGAACATAACAATTTCAATTGATAGATTTTGGAATTATTAGACTGAGAATTGCAAGAATCTGTCTGTTTCCCCTAATTTTCTTTTCTGGTCGTTGCTTGCAATGATTATTCTTGTGACGGTGTCATGGATTGGGCCATCTATTTTATTTATCTAGTTGGGCTTGTATAGTGGGCTAGCCCAAGCCTTGTCGGTTGTTATTGTTCTACATATAGCTTGACTTTAAAGACAATAAGAATTTTCGAATTGATGAATTGAAATTGGTCACTGCCGTCTATCCTCTTCTCTGCCTTTTTCGGTGCCTCCGATTCTTCTTCTTCTTCATCTTCGTCTTCTCCTCCTCTCTGCTTTTTATGTTTCTCCTTTTTTGGTAAGCTCCTTCTTTCTCTGTTTTTTGTTTAACTTTGTTATTTCTATGTAAACTTTAGTCAATTAATATAATTACAGCTTGGGTTATTGAATCTTGAGTAATTACAAGTTATATTGTGTGGCTTGAGTTTATAGCTTCTTGTTATTGGTTGAAGTTGAGCTCTGGCCATATCAAAGTGGTATCAGAGCAGTACGAAAGCTGGGAAATGGGAGCTCTTGTCAAAAATTAGGAAGAACAATTTAAAAGGTTTGAAAAGAAATCGGGAATTATGAATGACACTGAAAATCCATGGGATCAAATGTTGAAGAGGTTCTGCACTGGGCAAGATAGGATGGAGCAATTGATGGAGGAAATGAATAGAAAAATTGAATTGATCATTTCAATGTCGATTAAAATGGTTGAGGCTAAACCAGACTCCGAAGACCATTACAAGTGTTCTGTTGTGGACAGAGATGAAATGTCGATGGTGGAAGGTGAAATGGTTGTTTTTGATATTGGGGATTTGGAACTTGGTCAAAAGAGTTCAGAAGGGCTGGTTCATGAATTAGATGGTGATATGGGAGTTGTTGGAACCCAGTCAGTGAAGGCTTTATACAATGAGTATGCTGAAGATAAAGGATTGATTAATGAATATAGCTTACTGATGGAAACGCAAGTGGTGTAGGAGATGGATATAAATCTGGATATTGATGTACTTGCTTCTGGTGGCAATTTAAGTCAATATGCTCAATCTTTGCCAAAGTATTTAGGGAATACCGGGCTTCCTAAGGTTGATTTTCCCCACTTTCGAGGAGAAGGACCCAATGAATGGCTTGGGAAGGCTAGGAAATATTTCCAGATGCACCAAGTCCCTAACGAACTTAGGTTGGGAATTGCGGAGAAGTTTTTGGAAAGGAAAACTTGTATAACGTTTTATGGCTTCATCTTCAATCACCTCAATGCTGATTGGGACATGTTTTCAAGTAAGGTTTGTGAACGATTTGCTAAAAACAACGCTGAGGAAAAAGACATGGAAATGGAAACTGATGAGACCAAATATTCAACTCTTAGCTGTGGTAATCATCATGAAAATGAGGTTGCAGTTATTAGTGCGCCAAAGATCTAAGGGGAAAGCAGTGGGGATGTGGTTTTTTCTAGAGAAGCCCCACTTGAACGACGACGAGAATGCAATGGAGATGAAGTTCTAAAGGCAAAAGCTAGTGCCGAGGGCCATAAATTCACAGAGTGGGCTCTTAAATGTATAAGTGGCCACTCTCATTGCCTAGAAAATGGAGACACAATGGGCCGCAAATCTGCTATCGAGATTCAGCTACAACTATCTGCTTTCAAGACATTTGTAGACCTTGCTGGCAACCATCTTACGGGGAAGGATTTTACTGAAACATTTTATGCGGAATACTTCCCTTTTGCACTCTTCTCTAATTCAACGGATCATGGTTGGACATCTGGTATATCAGCAACTTCTATCCAAGGGTTGTCGGGCATGCTAGTTGAACGTAGGGCAAATAATGTCAACCAAGCACATGTCACTTTGCACTACCTGCTTAATCCAAGGGTAGTGAAGAGAATGAGGCAACTAATTTCGTACAAGATGACATCTCAACTTTGAATCTTGAGGACAAGGTAATTTAAGAAGAATGGATGTCATGGATTGGGCCATCTATTTTATTTATCTAGTTGGGCTTGTATAGTGGGCTAGCCCAAGCCCTATAGGTTGTTTTTGTTCTACATATAGCTTAGCTTTGAAGACAATAAGGGTCATCGAATTGATGAATTGAAATTGGCTACTATCGTCTATCCTCTTCTCGGTGCCTCCAGTTCATCTTCTTCTGTTCTTCCTCTCTACTTTCTGCGTTTCTCGCTTTCTGGTAAGCTCCTTCTTTCTCTGTTTTCTGTTTAACTTTATTATTTCTATGTCAACTTCAGTCAATTAATATAATTACAGCTTGGGTTATTGAATCTTGTGTAATTACAAGTTATATTGTGCAGCTTGAGTTTATAGCTTCTTGTTTTTGGTTGAAGTTGAGCTCCAACCGTGCCAGATGGGGACACAAAAATGTTGTAGCATAAGTTGTACGTTTGTGCCAAAATGAGGACACACGGACACAGTGGATCACAAACTTGTACTTGGATGCCCTAATTGTGCATTTCAAACCACCCATTATAAGAACTAAAATGCTTCTTGTATAAAAGAGAAATTATCCAAAGTGTTAACCTTTTTTGTTGAGTTTTATGTGTTCAATTTGGAATTATATTGTCAATATGCCCATTACTAAATGGAAAAACCTGTTTGGCGGTGAGGCCAATCCAACAGGGGCTTCACATGAATGCCCTATTGTTTGACCAGGACCTGGCCAAACAGCACAATTGTTATTAAATTAAATTGTCACTTATCCACAAAAGTTTGAAATATGTGTTTTTCTTCAAAAGTTATCTCTTCTATTGGATGTGATTAGACGTAATAAGTTTTTTGTTTCCTTAATTTTGGAAACGTTCATATCCTTTTCCAGAGGCTTTATTTCCATTATGTATAAATGATAGCATCTTTAAATTTATATAGTAAAATTTTTATACTTTAACAATAATATTTATTTTGATTCTTCATTTTATTTATTTTAAGAAACATTTAGGGGGTGTTTGATTCTCATTTTTGTAAAAATAAGAATGAAAAATATAGTCGTTATGGGTTCACACAAGAGATAGAAATTCAAATTTGATAACTTGATGTGATGGATAACGATCTTAATTTTTATTTTAATGGAGAAGAAATGAGAAACAAATAGGGGGGCTTATTGATTTCTCATCATCTTTTATTTACATATTTTCTATTTTTCCATGATTCTATTTAAATATGATTTTATTGATGATTAAAATTGACGTGGCTGTGTTTAAGAAGAATTATTGTTACAGTTTAGACATGCTTTATCCGGACACGCTTAAAACAAACGACAAAGGCGGCTATGACAAGCAGCATTCGTATCCCGCTTTTAGTTGAGCAAGCACCCGCTTTTAGCCTTCTTGTACGAAGGGGACTTTTGACTTCTTTTCATTTCCGTAATTGACAGCGTAACGAGTCATAAACAAAGCTCGCTGGATTCTACTACCTAAAACCCAGTAAGATTTATTGCCCTTTCTATTTCCTTGTTTATATGTACTAAGAGATATTCTTAATTTGACCATCAAGCACCCTTTTGCAGATTAAGCAAAATTTAGTTGTATTTATTATGGATTTTGGAACGATGGATCGAGGGCAAATTACACTAGCAGGATCAGGGTTCTGTGTGATGTTATCTTTACATTTCACATTTCAACTCTTGACGCAACACACGTTTTACTGGAAGAATCCCAAGGAGCAAAAAGCGATACTTATAATTATCATGATGGCCCCTGTTTATGCTATTAACTCCTTTGTGGGATTGTTGGATATTCGCGGTGGTAAACCCTTTTTCATGTTCTTGGATTCTGTTAAGGAATGCTATGAGGCTTTGGTATGTGTCTCTTTGCTTATCTTCTTTATGGATAATTATGTTAAATTGGATCTGGGATTATGTGGTCTTGTTTTGTTCATTTCAAGCAGCTAAAATTTTGTGCTTTTAATTTTTTCCCCCTTTTTTGGCTTTCTTTTGGTTTTCTCGTTGTGTGGACAGGCAATTGCTAAGTTTTTGGCACTGATGTACAGCTATCTGAATATATCCATGAGCAGAAACGTTGTCCCTGATGAAATCAAAGGAAGGGAGATTCGCCATTCATTTCCGATGACCCTTTTCCTGGTGGGATTTTGTTCTTTATTGCTAATTGCCTTTTGTGAGAAGTTTGTTTATAGACATCCAAAACTTATAAGCATTATCGTTCATAGAGCAAGAAGATTGAATTTTTCTTCTATAGTGGAGCATACAATTGTAAAATTTCCGCCGATAAACATTTGTTCGAGCATTTTATGAAAACGTCAGTCTTGGTTTCTGTGCTGCTGACTGTCACATGTAAATATGATAGTTCTGAATTGTTTGTATAGTTGGAATTTACCATTTGATCTTGAAAGCCAAAGTGGGAGAAGGCAAATGAGGTTTATTTGTATTCTGCTGTCATGCTCAGAAACTAAGGAAAGTTATAAAATGCTAGTGATTTTCTGCTCCTCAAGATTACCTAATAGGAAAAGTTACTGAATTTTTGCTATTATTCTCATTAACTAGCATGTCATATTGGTAGAGAGTATGATTACGAGTCTAAAAGAGGTCGTTTTGCTTCAATGCAGCCTAGCAAGACACATTTGGATATTCGTACAATCAGATTTCTAAAGTATTGGACATGGCAATTTGTGATTATCCGCCCCATATGCTCCATCTTGATGATAACATTACAAATTCTTGGGATCTATCCTAGTTGGGTCAGCTGGACATTCACAGTCATTCTCAACTTATCATTTGCTTTGGCTATGTATTCCTTAGTCGTCTTCTACCATGTCTTTGCTAAAGAGTTGAAACCACATAAGCCACTGGCAAAGTTTCTCTGCGTTAAAGGGATTGTTTTCTTCAGCTTTTGGCAGGTAAAGCCTTTTCATTGTTTACTCTCTGCTCTTTTCACTTATTTTTATTGTGGGAAATGTTAGTTTGAATACAGAACGGAAAGTGCAAAAAGTCTCTGCTCTTTATATACTAGTATTTGTTCACCCGGATTGAATCTTTCTACTAAGACGATGTTCATGTGAATAAGAAGCATAATTATCGTATTAGTTTATTCAAAGTTGTATTTCTATGATGCAGGGAATAGTGCTTGATATCCTCGTTGCAATGGGAATCATTCGATCCCACCATTTCTGGTTGGACACTGAGCATGTTGAGGAAGCTATTCAAAATGTCTTAGTGTGCCTCGAAATGGTTATCTTTTCCGTTTTCCAGCAGTATGCATTCAGTGTCTCGCCTTACAGTGGAGATGTAGAAGCAAGACTGAGACTACAGAAAAAGAATGAATGATATGGTGTAGAAGACCAGACTTTGAGCTGAGTTTGGGCATCATATGTCGAACATCTATGTTTCAGTTTGATCCGGCTTGGAATTAGCTCATAGTCAAGAAAGGACTCAATCATCAAATTGTAAGTCAGCTCCAAAGGCACACCATTTCCATTCTGATTTGTCTCTCTATCTAAAAGTAGTGTGAATTTTGTTGTTAACTACTTTACAACCTCAATGTTTGGGATAATAAATCCGTGTAAACTCTGTGAAATGTTGCTTCTGAAAGAGACCATGTGTTAGAATCAAGAGTACTACCAAAATCCTAGTCAAAACAAAAATCATTTCCACACAAAGTGGGATAAGTTCAGTACTTGCCAAGAACAAGTTTCATGAAGTAATGTTATTGAGCCCCTGTTTGGTGTTGATTAATATAAAAAATTTTAGTAGATTTTGATAAAAGTAGTGAAATATGTGCTGAAAAGTTTTGGGTCCTATCAAATGTGTGAGACAATACGTGATTTAACGTCTGCACGTGAATAGCCCCTGAGAGAACGACCAAGATGGCAAGAGTGGTCTGGTCTTCAACTAATCAACAGACATGAAATCCAATATAAAATAGGAGCCATATGATCCCAATCAATCAAAATGCAACTTTTTATTTTTTATTTTTCGCACTAGTCTGGCTTTAAATTCTTCCTACGTCTAATAGTATGAAGATATTGATTGAAACTATACATCCAGAATGTATTTACTGCAAAGAAAAATTCATCATTCAAGACTTAAATATTATTATATATCTAATCTCCAGCAAATCCTGGAGTTCCCCTGAAGTAAAAATGTCAAAAATTAGCTCGCCTTTTTCACAAGATTCGCGACGAGTCCAACCAGGATCCTTCAAGTCGAACATCTCACTATATTTTCCGTCCTCATAAGGTAGAACTACATCTACATTGAATTACCACATCAATTGACAAAGTAGAAATTGTTTAGTGTAAAAAGCAAAGAAATTGTTTAATGACATTTTTTTGAAAGAATTTAAAAATTGCATCATTTATTATTTATACAAATTACAAATTAAATAAAAGTACAACTTTCAAAATTATGTAATTTATACGAATAACAAAATAAATAAAAGTTACAAATTACAACCCTTCTCCTTTTTCCGGGCTTGGGACCGGCTACAATCAACGTAGGCGGAGTTAAAATTATACACAAATAAAATATTTCATGTACAATTTTCTTGAATCAAATAAATTTAAAAAATACATTTCTTAAAGAAAAATAATTAATTTAAAAACTTATAACATCCTATGTTTGGATATGCTGCAACTCTTCGACCATTATACTATCAACATGTTCTTGAACACGTAATTCTGTACATTCTCAATCCTTCAATCATAGCGAAGCCTCCAATATATCTTTTTTTAGTCTTGATCGTTCATCTGATCAAATTCGACCACCTAAACTGAATGCAGCCTCCGATGCTACCGTAGACACCGGAGGTGTTAGTAGATCACGTGCAATTTTTGATACAATTGGATATTACCTTTCGTTACATCTCCACCAATTTAAAAGATTAAATTCTTGTAATTCGTTCGGTTGCAACACACTACGAATATCCACGCACATATACCTAGCTAACTCAGAAGGAATTTCAAGATTTGTACCACCAATATTGATCGTTCTAGATGTTGATGAACTAGAACTAGAACTAAATGAAAGAACACTTGTATTGCTATCTAAATAATTCCATAAATTTTCGAAATTTTGTAATACTTAGAAGATTCAACATTTGCATACGTGTCAATTTCTTAAAAGCCATCCAAATCTTTTAAAATTTCTTTATTAATGAAATCTTTATAAATTCACTAATTATTGAGAATATCTAAATTTAGAAAATTTCAAATTTCATTAAATCTCAATTGGAAGCGCCTAAATTTAATGAATTTCATTAAAAGCACAATTCAGGACACCTAAAATTTAGAAGAATTTTTAAAATCCATCACAATTTTAATTGAGGACGCCTCTATTAAATTAGTCAAGGTTTGTAACAGCAAAAGGAGTTTACCTTACTTTCTAAAATATTTAATTTAATTTTACATATTAAGTTAAATATTTGAACAACTTGTATACCTAAATTAATGTCTTCAAATTTCTTCTTCTTCTTCTTCTTCTGGAAACAATACCTTTATATTTATTTTAATTTTTTAAAACCAATATTTCTTTATTTTATTAGCTTATCACTAATATATTTTAAATGATATCACTCTCTTACATTGACCATGACTATAGCAGGAAACATCATAAATGCGTCAAAACGCGGATATTCCCTGTGTTATCTCATTCATTGACTTATGGGTGCGAGGCCACCGTCCATTACCACGTAAATATATTTTTAAACCAAAAACGCTGCAAGCATTTGAATGCGGAATGGATCAGATTATAGAATATTCAAAAATGTCGTATTTAGATGGGTCCGGAAGAGCCCAAATAAACTCCAAAATTCTCTGTCTCAAGGGTGATAAACGGGATAAATCATTCGTCGACTAGGCTCCTCTCATCTCATCTTAAACGCTAGTGTAGTTAGCCTGATTCACTCTGACATGAGTTGTGAGTCAAATCGAGCCAGATTTTCCTCATGTAGGTTGATTTTTTTTATACGAACAAGCTTGTACTCAACTCGGCCCAAAGCGAGCACGAGCCAGCTAGAGTGGTGTGCCAAGCCCTAAAACATTACTCGATACTTATCCCTAAAGCGGGTGCGGAACCTTTGTTCTATCCGAATCTTAGCGGCTTCACTGGTCACTGTCATAAATGCGTTCAGATTTGTAAATTCTGGAGGTCGAGTTTCATTATCGCAGGGGCTTTTCTTACCCTTTTTTTAGATGCATGTATATAAATTATGAAGTGCATAATTGTAAATCAATTGGTAAAATTGATTGATGTCGTTCTAGTTTGTTGTTTGAATCACTAAATTCTATTCAATTGTTTGATTAGGCTCACAAATTCTATGTGATGGTTTAAGAATTATTATAGCAATAGAATGGATTTGATGTTTAAATTCAACAACGGCCATCCAACGATATACTTTAGTGTCATCAATGTCATTTAATTTGATTTTGTTTCACCATGACCACTCAACTTTATAATTAATGTTACTTTGGTCACCCAATTTCTTTACACCCTTTTCATTAATTTTAAGTTGTGTAAAATAGTAATTTGCATTATATATATTAAATAAAATAAAATAAATAAAATATTTTTTTATTTAAAATCATTTTTTAAGATAAGTTTTTATTTATTTTTTTAAGGAATATTTTCTTAAAATAATTTTTTATATTATTTTCTTATTTTGTAAATTTATTTTATTTATATAATGCAAAGTTGCCCCTTTGCCCTTTAACATAAAAGATTCGATAATGAAAGGCCAGATTTGAGAAGATTATAAAAAATACTAGCTGGTATTGAAAATGAGTCGGCCATAATGAGGGGGCCCACAAATTTAATATTCATGTAGGCCCCCTCAACATGTGAGGGAGCTGTATAGTATGGTGTACAAATAGTTTTTCCCTATTGATAATGAGTGATGTGGCATGTATAAGTTTTGTGTAAATAATGCATTACACTCCTTCACATGGAAGGATCCACATATAATTTATTATAGAATTATGTTATTTGTACACGTTGATGTACACTCTCCTTACAAGAGGGGGTCCACGCTTTTTTTTTATTAGGTGTGGGCCCCTCTTGTGAGGGGAGTGTACGCCAACTTGTCAACGTCGATGTATGTATAACAAAACCATTTTATTGTGTGTGGATTCCTTTCCATAAGAGAGAGTGTAATTCATTATGTACACAAGAAGTATATGAGTAGGCTAATTAATTGAAAATTAGTGAAACTAATGTCAAAAAGTTGGGTAGCCACGATGAAACGTTATGTAAAATTGAGTGGCCATTGTGAAATAAAATCAAATTGGATGGTCATAGTAACATTAAGTATAAACTTGAGTGACCATAATGAAACAAAATAAAATTAGGAGTCCCTAGTGACACTAGTGGACATTGATGGATTTAACCCATGGATTTAATCCAAGAATTTTATTAAATTGTGTACATCTAGCATTACATCTCCTTCGTGTGAAGGGTGGCAATGCATTGATATAATTTCAAGGGGTTACGTCGCTTTGACAAAAATGGTTGATGGATGGAGTAACATAATATCATCTCCAACATTGCACCAAAATTTGAGTTAAATTTTACACCATTTTACACCAAAGTAAAAATAATCTCCGACCAGTTACACCAAATCAACACTGTAAAATTATTTTCTTCATTTTTTTCATTCTTAATAATTTATTTTTATAAAAATTTTATTTAATTTACTACTATATAAATTATTGAATAAATAGTTATATTTTGTTAATGATAATATTGAATTCATTAATAAATTTAATGAATGTTGTACAATAAAATAGAAAAATCACAACTAAAAAAATTAAATAATAATAATAACAATAATTAAGAATTAAAATTTATTGTATAACAAAAAAGTGACACAATACCCTTAACAAAAGTTGGAGCAAAATGGAAAATAAAGGTAAAATGGATATTAATCATTTTGGTGCAAAATTGTACAAATGAATAGTATTGTAATGGTGCAAAATTTGTTGTTGGATTGGAGTAAGATTGCACCAAATATTTGGGGGAAAATGGGGAAAATGGGGACTTGATGCAAGAGTTGGAGTTGCCCTAATGTTATTTAGCAAAATATGATTGAATGAAAAAATTGGCCATATTTAAAACAGTCATGACATGTGATATTATATCAATCATTAATTCACTATAGCACGATTCAATTTCAAGATTCAAAATTAATGGTATAGATGAAGCAACATGATAGAATGTAAAGAATGATGCCAAAGGTAACTCTCAGTGAAAATTTCAAACTTCACTAATCAACACATGTACTTGTTCAGTTTCACACATACTACTTCAATAAAGTTCTGCTTTTGATATTAAAATGTATGGTGGCAATTGTTTCCTATATGACCATTAGTTCTCATATATGCACATAAATCTTTATGCAACTACCACAAGAAGATTTAAAGAGTAAAGACCTTGGCAGACTGGTAATTAGTTCGACCTATCATATAATGCAGAACTAAATCAAATACAGACCACATTTCAGCAAGAACTTAATAAGTAAAATGTTTATTCACTCAAGAATCTCCATAGCAAACCACAAGATTTGGCTTATATTCTCATCGAATTTCAACCAACGAGTTCACTAGTTAAAATAAATGCACTTTGCAACTTTTATACCTCTCCTCTGACAGGCTCATGATAATTCCAAAAGACATAAGTCTCAATCACGTCCAATCCTCCTTCCTTCGCCTTTCTAATGATTTCTGGCCACACCTACAATTCACCAACAGCAGAAAACCAGACCTGAATTCCAACTCATTTTACTAAAACTAAAATTACGGATGAATATGAAGAATCCTTCTGATTATAAGAGATCAATAAATCATCATTACTACACCAAATACTAATAAAATTCACTCACATCAGGCGTGGTTCGCGGATAATGCACAGACCCTGACTGCAAAATTCTCCTCGTTCCATCAATAACCAGTGCCTTGCTATCATATGTTACAGTAGTGGAAAACGCTCTTTCATAATAATTACCTTCAAACACTAAAATCACCAGTAAAATTATCATCATGGCATTCATCCTTTCCATATTAAATTGGAACCCACACGAGTATAACAGACTTAAAAACCCTAACCTTATATTACGCCTCAATGTAGATTCGTAAAATTAAATTATCCAAACCATATATCTGCATGTTTGTCCTGATTGATAAAGAGGAATATGAACATAACAATTTCAATTGATAGATTTTGGAATTATTAGACTGAGAATTGCAAGAATCTGTCTGTTTCCCCTAATTTTCTTTTCTGGTCGTTGCTTGCAATGATTATTCTTGTGATGGTGTCATGGATTGGGCCATCTATTTTATTTATCTAGTTGGGCTTGTATAGTGGGCTAGCCCAAGTCTTGTCGATTGTTATTGTTCTACATATAGCTTGACTTTAAAGACAATAAGAATTTTCGAATTGATGAATTGAAATTGGTCACTGCCGTCTATCCTCTTCTCTGCCTTTTTCGGTGCCTCCGATTCTTCTTCTTCTTCATCTTCGTCTTCTCCTCCTCTCTGCTTTTTATGTTTCTCCCTTTTTGGTAAGCTCCTTCTTTCTCTGTTTTTTGTTTAACTTTGTTATTTCTATGTAAACTTTAGTCAATTAATATAATTACAGCTTAGGTTATTGAATCTTGAGTAATTACAAGTTATATTGTGTGGCTTGAGTTTATAGCTTCTTGTTATTGGTTGAAGTTGAGCTCTGGCTATATCAAAGTGGTATCAGAGCAGTACGAAAGCTGGGAAATGGGAACTCTTGTCAAAAATCAGGAAGAATAATTTAAAAGGTTTGAAAAGAAATCGGGAATTATGAATGACACTGAAAATCCATGGGATCAAATGTTGAAGAGGTTCTGCACTGGGCAAGATAGGATGGAGCAATTGATAGAGGAAATGAATAGAAAAATTGAATTGATCATTTCAATGTCGTTTAAAATGGTTGAGGCTAAACCAGACTCCGAAGACCATTACAAGTGTTCTGTTGTGGACAGAGATATTTATAGCATCTTTAAATTTATATAGTAAAATTTTTATACTTTAACAATAATATTTATTTTGATTCTTCATTTTATTTATTTTAAGAAACATTTAGGGGGTGTTTGATTCTCATTTTTGTAAAAATAAGAATGAAAAATATAGTCGTTATGGGTCCCACACACACAAGAGATAGAAATTCAAATTTGATGGCTTGATGTGATGGATAACGATCATATTTTTCATTTTAATAGGAAAAAAATGAGAAACAAACAGGGGCTTATTGATTTCTCATCATCTTTTATTTACATATTTTCTATTTTTCCATGATTCTATTTAAATATGATTTTATTGATGATTAAAATTGACGTGGCTGTGTTTGAGAAGAGTTATTGTTACAGTTTAGATATGCTTTATCCGGACACGCTTAAAACAAACAACAAAGGCGGCTATGACAAGCAGCATTCGTATCCCGCTTTTAGTTGAGCAAGCACACGCTTTTAGCCTTCTTGTACAAAGGGGAATTTTGACTTCTTTTCATTTCTGTAATTGACAGCGTAACGAGTCGTAAACAAAGCTCGCTGGATTCTACTACCTAAAACCCAGTAAGATTTATTGCCCTTTCTATTTCCTTGTTTATATGTACTAAGAGATATTCTTAATTTGACCATCAAGCACCCTTTTGCAGATTAAGCAAAATTTAGTTGTATTTATTATGGATTTTGGAACGATGGATCGAGGGCAAATTACACTAGCAGGATCAGGGTTCTGTGTGATGTTATCTTTACATTTCACATTTCAACTCTTGACGCAACACACGTTTTACTGGAAGAATCCAAAGGAGCAAAAAGCGATACTTATAATTATGATGATGGCCCCTGTTTATGCTATTAACTCCTTTGTGGGATTGTTGGATATTCGCGGTGGTAAACCCTTTTTCATGTTCTTGGATTCTGTTAAGGAATGCTATGAGGCTTTGGTATGTGTCTCTTTGCTTATCTTCTTTATGGATAATTATGTTAAATTGGATCTGGGATTATGTGGTCTTGTTTTGTTCATTTCAAGCAGCTAAAATTTTGTGCTTTTAATTTTTTCCCCCTTTTTTGGCTTTCTTTTGGTTTTCTCGTTGTGTGGACAGGCAATTGCTAAGTTTTTGGCACTGATGTACAGCTATCTGAATATATCCATGAGCAGAAATATTGTCCCTGATGAAATCAAAGGAAGGGAGATTCACCATTCATTTCCGATGACCCTTTTCCTGGTGGGATTTTGTTCTTTATTGCTAATTGCCTTTTGTGAGAAGTTTGTTTATAGACATCTAAAACTTATAAGCATTATCGTTCATAGAACAAGAAGATTGAATTTTTCTTCTATATTGGAGCATACAATTGTAAAATTTCAGCCGATAAACATTTGTTCGAGCATTTTATGAAAACGTCAGTCTTGGTTTCTGTGCTGCTGACTGTCACATGTACATATTATAGTTCTGAATTGTGTTGTATAGTTGGAATTTACCATTTGATCTTGAAAGCCAAAGTGGGAGAAGGCAAATGAGGTTTATTTGTATTCTGCTGTCATGCTCAGAAACTAAGGAAAGTTATAAAATGCTAGTGATTTTCTGCTCCTCAAGATTACCTAATAGGAAAAGTTACTGAATTTTTGCTATTATTCTCATTAACTAGCATGTCATATTGGTAGAGAGTATGATTACGAGTCTAAAAGAGGTCGTTTTGCTTCAATGCAGCCTAGCAAGACACATTTGGATATTCGTACAATCAGATTTCTAAAGTATTGGACATGGCAATTTGTGATTATCCGCCCCATATGCTCCATCTTCTGTTAAGGAATGCTATGAGGCTTTGGTATGTGTCTCTTTGCTTATCTTCTTTATGGATAATTATGTTAAATTGGATCTGGGATTATGTGGTCTTGTTTTGTTCATTTCAAGCAGCTAAAATTTTGTGCTTTTAATTTTTTCCCCCTTTTTTGGCTTTCTTTTGGTTTTCTCGTTGTGTGGACAGGCAATTGCTAAGTTTTTGGCACTGATGTACAGCTATCTGAATATATCCATGAGCAGAAATATTGTCCCTGATGAAATCAAAGGAAGGGAGATTCACCATTCATTTCCGATGACCCTTTTCCTGGTGGGATTTTGTTCTTTATTGCTAATTGCCTTTTGTGAGAAGTTTGTTTATAGACATCTAAAACTTATAAGCATTATCGTTCATAGAACAAGAAGATTGAATTTTTCTTCTATATTGGAGCATACAATTGTAAAATTTCAGCCGATAAACATTTGTTCGAGCATTTTATGAAAACGTCAGTCTTGGTTTCTGTGCTGCTGACTGTCACATGTACATATTATAGTTCTGAATTGTGTTGTATAGTTGGAATTTACCATTTGATCTTGAAAGCCAAAGTGGGAGAAGGCAAATGAGGTTTATTTGTATTCTGCTGTCATGCTCAGAAACTAAGGAAAGTTATAAAATGCTAGTGATTTTCTGCTCCTCAAGATTACCTGATAGGAAAAGTTACTGAATTTCTGTTATGATTCTCATTAACTAGTATGTCATATTGGTAGAGATTATGATTACGAGTCTAAAAGAGGTTGTTTTGCTTCAATGCAGCCTAGCAAGACACATTTGGATATTCGTACAATCAGATTTCTAAAGTATTGGACATGGCAATTTGTGATGATCCGCCCCATATGCTCCATCTTGATGATAACATTACAAATTCTTGGGATCTATCCTAGTTGGGTCAGCTGGACATTCACAGTCATTCTCAACTTATCATTTGCTTTGGCTATGTATTCCTTAGTCGTCTTCTACCATGTCTTTGCTAAAGAGTTGAAACCACATAAGCCACTGGCAAAGTTTCTCTGCGTTAAAGGGATTGTTTTCTTCAGCTTTTGGCAGGTAAAGCCTTTTCATTGTTTACTCTCTGCTCTTTTCATCTATTTTTATTGTGGGAAAGGTTAGTTTGAATACAGAACGGAAAGTGCAAAAAGTCTCTGCTCTTTATATACTAGTATTTGTTCGCCCGGATTGAATCTTTCTACTAAGACGATGTTCATGTGAATAAGAAGCATAATTATCGTATTAGTTTATTCAAAGTTGTATTTCTATGATGCAGGGAATGGTGCTTGATATCCTAGTTGCAATGGGAATCATTCGATCCCACCATTTCTGGTTGGACACTGAGCATGTTGAGGAAGCTATTCAAAATGTCTTAGTGTGCCTCGAAATGGTTATCTTTTCCGTTTTCCAGCAGTATGCATTCAATGTCTCGCCTTACAGTGGAGATGTAGAAGCAAGACTGAGACTACAGAAAAAGAATGAATGATATGGTGTAGAAGACCAGTCTTTGAGCTGAGTTTGGGCATCATATCTCGAACACCTATGTTTCAGTTTGATCCGGCTTGGAATTAGCTCATAGTCAAGAAAGGACTCAATCATCAAATTGTAAGTCAACTCTAAAGGCACACCATTTCCATTCTGACTTGTCTCTCTATCCAAAAGTAGTGTGGATTTTGTTGTTAACTCCTTTACAAACTCAATGTTTGGGATAATAAATCCGTGTAAACTCTATAAAATGTTGCTTCTAAAAGAGACCATATGTTAGAATCAAGAGTACTACCAAAATCCTAGACAAACAAAAATCATTTCCACACAAAGTGGGATAAGTTCAGTACTTGCCAAGAACAAGTTTCATGAAGTAATGTTATTGAGCCCCTGTTTGGTGTTGATTAAAATAAAAAATTTTAGTAGATTTTGATAAAAGGTGGTGAAATATGTGCTGAAAAGTTTTGGGTCCCATCAAATGTGTGAGACAATACGTGATTTAACGTCTGCACGTGAATAGCCCCTGAGAGAACGACCAAGATGGCAAGAGTGGTCTGGTCTTCAACTAATCAACAGACATGAAATCCAATATAAAATAGGAGCCATATGATCCCAATCAATCAAAATGCAACTTTTTATTTTTTATTTTTCATTTTTCGCACTAGTCTGGCTTTAAATTCTTCGTACGTCTAATAGTATGAAGATATTGATTGAAACTATACATCCAGAATGTATTTACTGCAAAGAAAAATTCATCATTCAAGACTTAAATATTATTATATATCTAATCTCCAGCAAATCCTGGAGTTCCCCTGAAGTAAAAATGTCAAAAATTAGCTCGCCTTTTTCACAAGATTCGCGACGAGTCCAACCAGGATCCTTCAAGTCGAATGTCTCACTATATTTTCCGTCCTCATAAGGTAGAACTACATCTACATTGAATTACCACATCAATTGACAAAGTAGAAAAGAA